TTGGGGCTGCGGGGTTGACGCACTGCCCCCCAGGTCTGGACGGGCTGTCGGAGCGCTGTGCCCAGTACAAGAAGGATGGGGCTGACTTTGCCAAGTGGCGCTGCGTCCTGAAGATCAGCAACAACACCCCCTCCGCGCTCGCCATCATGGAGAACGCCAACGTCCTGGCTCGCTATGCCAGCATCTGCCAGCAGGTACGTGTCTGTGGCTGAGCATCGCCCCACGGCGTGGGCAGGGACCCATAGGATGGCTGTTGACCTATGGGGCCAGGTGTAGCCCCCCAGGGACAGGCACTGATCCGCGGGGCTCAGCATTGCCCGCTGCCTGGCTGTCACCCCATGGGGCTGGATGTCACCTCATGGGCTAGGGGGACGCTTCACGGGGATGGGCATTGACCCCCCCAAGACCAGGTGTTGCCCCATGGGGTGGGCATCGCCCGTAGGGCCAGGCATTGCTTCATGGGGCTTGGGCATCGCCCCACAAACGTGGGTATAGCTTCATGGGGCCAAGAACTGACCTTCCTGGGTTGGGCATCACCCTGTGGGGCTGGACATCACCTCATGGGGCCAGACGTGACCCCACTGCGATGGGCATCACCAGCAAGGTTGAGCGTTGAACCTCGGGGCTGAGCATTGCCCCCCAGGTCCAGGCATGGTCCCAGGTTGCCATGAAGCCAGGGCGATGCCCAGGGACGTCCCCTTGATGGCATCTGCCTGGTGTTTGCAGAACGGCATCGTGCCCATTGTGGAGCCGGAGATCCTGCCCGATGGTGACCACGACCTCAAGCGGTGCCAGTACGTGACGGAGAAGGTGAGCGGTGGGGCAGCTGTCAGAGGGGCACCATGCCGTGCTGGGCCATACAGGGGGACTCCATGCTGCCCGTCCTCCCCAGGTCCTGGCAGCTGTCTACAAGGCGCTGAGCGACCACCACGTCTACCTGGAGGGGACCCTGCTGAAGCCCAACATGGTGACCCCCGGGCCCTCCTGCCCCACCAAGTACAGCCCAGAGGAGATCGCTATGGCCACTGTCACTGCCCTGCGCCGCACCGTGCCCCCGGCCGTGCCAGGTACCGGCACCGGGATGTGGCGGGGACCAGGAGGGGGATGCCCTGTGGCCCCCCTGGTGCCATAACCCCGCTTTCTGCAGGTGTC